AGCAGCAGCAGCAGTTGTTTCTGCTTGGAGGCTGTTTTGAATTGCAGCACACGCCACGAGCAGCAACCACAAGCAGGCAGCAGCCCCCGTAGCAAGCACCATCAGCAGCACCCATCAGCGCCAGGCCTTTAGCGCCAGCAGCAGCCAGCAGCAGCCTCAGCAGCCAGCAGCAGCAGCAACAGCCAGCCGCCAGGCAGGGCAGGCAGCAGCCCAGCGCATCCAGCAATCAGGCAGCAGCAGTCGCAGCAGGCAGCAGGCGCCGAATTCCTTTTTGTAGGATTTCCGAAGGGACGTTCCGGCCTCGGGAAACGCATATTTTGGACTCCGTTCGTCCTTCAGGGCCATGGTGTTTCCCCGTCCGGCAGGGCAGGAAAGAATAATAATAATTCGCTGACCCTGGCCGATGCAAGGGGGAGCGCGTAAGGGAAGAAGAGGTGCTGCACTGCTACTTTTATACTGCCAGGCAGCAGCAGGCAGCAGCAGGCAGCAGGCAGCAGGTAGCAGCCAGCAGCAGCCAGCAGCAGCCCGCACCAGCCAGCAGCAGCCAGCAGCAGGCAGCAGTACGTGTCTGGCAGGCAGCATCCGGCAGCAGCAACCAGCAGCAACCAGCAGCAGCCGGCGTTAGGGCAGCCAGCAAGCGCCAGCAGCAGCCAGCAGCAGCCCGCAACAGCCAGCAGCAGGCAGGAGCAAGGCAGCAGCCAGCAGCAGCGGAGCGGCCAGGCAGCAGCAGAGGCGCAGGATTCCTTTTTGTAGGAAGATTCTCAGAATGGACGTTCCGGCCTCGGAAACGCATATTTTGGACTCCGTTCGTCCTTCAGGGCCATGGTGTTTCCCCGTCCGGCAGGGCCGTGTCTTTGTGGGCACAGCAGCAGCAGCAGCAGTTGTTTCTTGCTTTGGAGGCTGTTTGATTGCAGCAGCACGACAGCAGCACCAGCCACCAGTAGCAGCACCAGCAACAGCAACCAGCAGCAGCCGGCGTTAGGCAGCCAGCAGCAGCCAGCAGCAGCCAGCAGCAGCCAGCAACAGCCAGCAGCAGGCAGGAGCAGGCAGCAGCCAGCAGCAGGCAGGAGCGGCAGGCAGCAGCAGGCAGCAGGCAGCAGGATTCCTTTTTGTAGGAGATTTCAGAAGGGACGTTCCGGCCTCGGGAAACGCATATTTTGGACTCCGTTCGTCCTTCAGGGCCATGGTGTTTCCCCGTCCGGCCGGGCCGTGTCTTTGTGGGCACAGCAGCAGCAGCAGCAGCAGCAGCAGTTGTTTCTTGCTTTGGAGGCTGTTTGATTGCAGCAGCACGACAGCAGCACCACAGCAGCAGCAGCCACCAGTAGCAGCACCAGCAGCAGGCAGCAGGCAGCCGCAGGCAGCAGCAGGCAGCAGCAGGCAGCAGCAGGCATCAGTAGGCAGCAGCAGACACAAGCAGACGCAGCAGCAGTAAGCGCAACGGCAGGAGTGCAGCAGCTAGCAGCGAGCCAGCAGCTTGCTACTACTACTATAATATTTGTAGGAGATTTCAGAAGGGACGTTCCGGCCTCGGGAAACGCATATTTTGGACTCCGTTCGTCCTTCAGGGCCATGGTGTTTCCCCGTCCGGCAGGGCTGTGCCTTTGTGGGCACAGCAGCAGCAGTCGCTGTCGCCTCTCATTAGCATGGGGTTTCCTTGCCGGAAGCTGTGAAGGGTCAGCTAGCAGCAGCAGCAGCTCCAATAGAATTTTTGTCTAGGGTTCCAGCAGCATCAGTAGCAGTAAGAGGAACGGCAGCGAGCCAGTAGCCAGCATAGCATTGAGATTGAGAAACGTATAGCAAGCTTTTTGTAGGAGATTTCAGAAGGGACGTGCAGCAGGTAGCAGCCAGCAGCAGCCAGCAGCAGCCCGCACCAGCCAGCAGCAGCCAGCAGCAGGCAGCAGTACGTGTCTGGCAGGCAGCATCCGGCAGCAGCAACCAGCAGCAACCAGCAGCAGCCGGCGTTAGGCAGCCAGCAGCAGCCAGCAGCAGCCAGCAACAGCCAGCAGCAGGCAGGAGCAGGCAGCAGCCAGCAGCAGGCAGGAGCGGCAGGCAGCAGCAGGCAGCAGGCAGCAGGATTCCTTTTTGTAGGAGATTTCAGAAGGGACGTTCCGGCCTCGGGAAACGCATATTTTGGACTCCGTTCGTCCTTCAGGGCCATGGTGTTTCGCCGTCCGGCAGGGCCGTGTCTTTGTGGGCACAGCAGCAGCAGCAGCAGCAGCAGTTGTTTCTTGCTTTGGAGGCTGTTTGATTGCAGCAGCACGACAGCAGCACCACAGCAGCAGCAGCCACCAGTAGCAGCACCAGCAGCAGCAACCAGCAGCAGCCGGCGTTAGGCAGCCAGCAGCCAGCAGCAGCCAGCAACAGCCAGCAGCAGGCAGGAGCAGGCAGCAGCCAGCAGCAGGCAGGAGCGGCAGGCAGCAGCAGGCAGCAGGCAGCAGGATTCCTTTTTGTAGGAGATTTCAGAAGGGACGTTCCGGCCTCGGGAAGCGCATATTTTGGACTCCGTTCGTCCTTCAGGGCCATGGTGTTTCCCCGTCCGGCAGGGCCGTGTCTTTGTGGGCACAGCAGCAGCAGCAGCAGCAGCAGCAGCAGCAGTTGTTTCTTGCTTTGGAGGCTGTTTGATTGCAGCACCACGACAGCAGCACCACAGCAGCAGCAGCCACCAGTAGCAGCACCAGCAGCAGGCAGCAGGCAGCCGCAGCCAGCAGCAGGCAGCAGCAGGCAGCAGCAGGCAGCAGCAGGCATCAGTAGGCAGCAGCAGACACAAGCAGACGCAGCAGCAGTAAGCGCAACGGCAGGAGAGCAGCAGCTAGCAGCGAGCCAGCAGCTTGCTACTACTACTATAATATTTGTAGGAGATTTCAGAAGGGACGTTCCGGCCTCGGGAAACGCATATTTTGGATTCCGTTCGTCCTTCAGGGCCATGGTGTTTCCCCGTCCGGCAAGGCTGTGCCTTTGTGGGCACAGCAGCAGCAGTCGCTGTCGCCTCTCATTAGCATGGGGTTTCCTTGCCGGAAGCTGTGAAGGGTCAGCTAGCAGCAGCAGCAGCAGCTCCAATAGAATTTTTGTCTAGGGTTCCAGCAGCATCAGTAGCAGTAAGAGGAACGGCAGCGAGCCAGTAGCCAGCATAGCATTGAGATTGAGAAACGTATAGCAAGCTTTTTGTAGGAGATTTCAGAAGGTGTTAGTGTTGTTAGTGTTGTTAGTGTTATTAGTGTTGTTAGTGTTGTGTTAGTGTTGTTGTTGTTGTTGGTGGTGGTGGTGGTGGTGGTTGTGGTGTTGTTGTTGTTGGTGGTGGTGGTGTTGTTGTTGCTGGCGGTTGTGTTTGTCTTGATAGTGTTGTTATTGTTATTGTTGTCGTTGTTGTTGTTGTTGTTGCTGTTGTTGTTGTGTTGTTGTTGTTGTTGCTGTTGTTATTGTTGTTGTTGTTGTTGTTGTTGTTGTTGTTGTTGTTAGTGTTGTTGTTGTTGTTGTTGCTGTTGTTAGTGTTGTTGTTGTTACCGTTAGTATTGTTAGTGCTGTTAGTGTTGCTAGTGTTAGTGTTGTTAGTGTTGTTAATGTTGTTAGTGTTGTTAGTGTTGTTAGTGTTGTTAGTGTTGTGTTAGTAGTGTTGTTGTTGTTGGTGGTGGTGGTGATGGTGGTGGTGGTGGTGTTGTTGATGGTGGTGGTGGTGGTGGTGTTGTTGCTGGCGGTTGTATTTGTGTTGATAGTGTTGTTATTGTTGTTGTCGTTGTTGTTGTTGCTGTTGTTGTTGTTGCTATTGTTATTGTTGTGGTGGTGGTGGTGGTTGTGGTTGTTCTTGTTGTTCTTGTTGTTCTTGTTGTTCTTGTTGTTCTTGTTGTTCTTGTTGTTCTTGTTGTTGTTGTTGTTGTTGTGCTTGGGCCCATGTTTTTTTCTTTCCATTTCACAAACCCAATTATTACGAATGTGCCTTTTTCCTTGCGAAGCCTACGACTCACGCAAGGGTGGTCAGACACACCATCCTAAAAAGAAATGGAAAGAAAAAACCATGAGCACAAACCAACAATTCCTTGCCAAACAACCACGTGCGACACAATGAAGCTTCGTTCAACTCCACAAAGTGAAGATGCCCTTATGATAATGTCACTTATTGTAAGTTCACCCAAAATCGAAAACAGCTACCCAAACAGCTACCCCCCCACTTCACATGGCACGCACCTGAATGGACATGCATAGGCTCCGACGGCTCCATGACAGTCAATATATCATGAAAAACCCATTTACAAATGAAAATTCAAACCTATCAAATATATTTCACAACAATATACATAGGAAAAAGGTCGAAAGCCTCAAGGTGCGAAGCACCGAAGAGTTTTTATGCCAATTTGCTTGGCTTCCTTGCCGATTCTTCCGGGGTCGGCGGCAGGGGCGGCAGCCCTTAATAAATTTCCGTTCCCAAAAAAGGGCACAACCCCCAGGCGTACATGTTACACAAAAAATATCCAGAATCAATTTTGGGACCATGGGGGCAAACATCTCTGGATAAAGTTCCAGTGGCCAAGGTCCTATTTATCCCTTTGCAAGTCTCCAACAAACTCCGCTCCGAGAAACTCCACACTTTTCTTTGGTTGCAACCCCAGTGTCGCTGAATATTTTTCCATGGGACAACCCCCCTCAACTTTGAAAATACCAAAGTTGGGACTCAATAAATGTCCTAGAGGGATAATTTTTTGGGCACAGGGTCAGGAAAAAAAATCCTGCCAGGACGAACCCGGATCCCCGTGTGTGGTGCCTACGGAGGGTTGTACCCAAATTTATCCCGGATAAATTTCTTGGGGCCAAGCTTTTTTCGGAATAAATTTCCGTTCCCAAAAAAGGGCACAACCCCCAGGCGTACATGTTACACAAAAAATATCCAGAATCAATTTTGGGACCATGGGGGCAGACATCTCTGGATAAAGTTCCAGTGGCCAAGGTCCTATTTATCCCTTTGCAAGTCTCCAACAAACTCCGCTCCGAGAAACTCCACACTTTTCTTTGGTTGCAACCCAGTGTCGCTGAATATTTTTCCATGGGACAAACCCCCCTCAACTTTGAAAATACCAAAGTTGGGACTCAATAAATGTCCTAGAGGGATAATTTTTGCGTGGCTTTCGCACGACTTTCACAGATTGGACACCAAAGACCAGTTGTTTGAAAAGGCTGCTCCGTCTGCAAACTCGGGGCAGCCTTCCGTGCCTAACAAACACGCCGTAGTATGGCTCGGTTCACAACCGTGCCTCGCAAGATACTTGGAAGGACTGAGCACAGCAGGAATGCTGCAGCCGTGGGGGGCAGCCCAGCTGTTAGATCAAACCTCGAACATCGGCGACGTGTTGCGGTTTGGTTCTGAATCTGTTGCACGTGGGAAACTTGATGTTTTGACCTGTAAACATTCAAAGCAGTTCAAACCTCATACTACTCTGGACCCACAATTGATACTTAAAATTCTGCTGATATTTTTGCATGGCTTTCGCACCACTTTCACTGATTGGACACCAAAGACGAGTTGATTGAAAAGGCTGCTCCACTTTGGCTGCAGATACCAAATTCAAAACTGCATAGTTTGTTTGAAAACGCTACTCGTTCTGCTATTTGGGGCGGTATTGCAGGCCAAAAACACAGTGACGCGGTTTGGTTCAGAATCTGTCGCACGTGGGAAGCTTGATGTTTTGACCTGTAACATTCAAACCTCATACTACTCTGGACCCATAATTGATACTTAAAATTCTGCTCGAGCGTTTCCTGCAGACTAGACAAGTCCACAGTTCCGGGATTTACTACAGTTCCAGGTCATAATTTTCCACAATTTTCCATATCAAGTTTTTCAGCCTGAGCGACCCTGGAAAAGTCGCCTTGACTCGCAGCACACATGTGTATAGATGAGCTGTGTTTTTTTTGCTTAGCCCTTTAAACTCATCAAGGCTAGGCGCGAGGGGCCCTTCAGCTATCTCTCAGCTGTGGCTTCAATTCTGTTTACAGACGGCAAACATGCTGTCTTGGTTGATGTTTTTGAGTAGCACCGACCAAGATTGATGGATGGAAAGCTGGTAGATGTACTCCTCATTTGGACATGCTTGCAGTGCCATTCCAGACACGCGTGCGTTGGTTCAGCAAGGTCCTTAAAGAAAGCCTGCGACATCTTGGCCATGCATGCACGTATCGTTATTGTAGACCCCATTCCCGGTCGTTATTCCTTCACACAGGTTGCTTGGCTCTCCCATGGAGCCCTGTTCGTGTGGATGCAACAGATGAGTGGATTCTTTCATTCTGTCCGGCTGGGGTGCAAAGAACGTCAAAAGCCATTGAGGGATTACCGTTTGCTGACCGTGACGATAGGTTTCCAACTGTATGGCTTACATGTGCATAGCATGACTCTCCAAAGAGGGCTGTCAACGTGCGACTTTGACAGCGCTTTAGATAAAGTGGAATAAAGTGATGTTTGTCCTGTCAAGGGTGGGAACCACCACCCGTAGCCAGCAAAACGGAAATTCACTGTGGCAAGCTGGACGTTTTTACCCAAATCCATTTCTTAAAACTTAAAACTTTTGGGCAGTAAACCATGTTATTAATATACAGTACTGTATCTCTCATTATCTATGGGTATCTGAGATAGTTCATTCCCAAGTTTCTCCGTTTCTCCTATCCATTTCTGCTCCGCCAAGCGTGGCAATTTTCATTGCCCCTGCCACCTCCCACCGACGAAACTCCTACACACTGACACATGATCACGTCAGTGGTTGGGCATCGGTCGCCCGCTTGAGCGCCATCCATGTTCGGGGCTAGTCCATTCGGCAGGTGAGTTGTTACACAGTCCTTAGCGGATTTCGACTTCCATGACCACCGTCCTGCTGTCAAAATGAACCAACACCCTTTGTGCATGTAGGTCCAGGGCATGGATCAGGGCTTGAAATTTTGAGCCGCAGCCATATATTATCTTTGTCCACAATTTTCCGTATCAAGGCTTTCTGCCTGTCTGGCACCATATTTTCCTGAGTACCCTTCAATTCTGTTTACAGGGGCCCTTCAGCTATCTCTCAGCTGTGGCTTCTTGGCACGGAATCCTCTGGATATGCAGACTTCTGCTCTGTCAGAAGCTGTGGGATCTCACCATGGCTGGAGATTGAAGTGAATCCGTGCGTGGTTCCTGGTGCCGCAAGATAGCAGGCAAAAAGTGACAGAACAGCACATGATGCCGTGATGCCCACACTGCTTTGAGTAGCGCTGCAAAACAGTTTTGGGCCCAGTCAGGCAAAAAACTGTATCTTGTGCAGTGGCACTTCCGGTGATGGGTGAAGCACTGCCTCCATGATGCAATTTTGGGGAGAAAAAGGCCAACTGTTTTGGCTGGCAGCGTAGGGAATCAATGAAGGGAGCTGGGAAGTTTAAGAAAGGTTGGTTGTACTCTTTGTCCGCCCATCGGAAATCTCACACATGTTCGATGGGCAAAGGTATCCTGTCACAGAGCAACATCCGCATTCAGAAAAGGACATCCCTGAAAATGCGTCTTAATAATGCTTATAATGCTTATATTCAACTTTGGGAGCTGCAAAATTTGGCCTACACGGCCTAGCTGCTAAAGATTGCACGGCGGAATTGAAAGTCTGAAAGGAAGGGTGAACTGTGAAGACAAACAAGCAACTCAATACTTCTAGAAGGCACTGATCGACCGAAGGCACTGGTAACCTGTCTACAAAGAGAAGAAAAATCAAGGTTGACCCCTTCTTCAATGCTAGTTCTTCGAGCGCAAAAGAAAGAAAGGATGTGGGACACTGTTGTTCTGGGCCAGAAATGCCATGGTCTCACCATGTTTGACTGGTATCTTCGCAGAATCTGCAGTGGCACTTCTGTCACATAGCCAACTCCTCATCACTCCAGTGGGCAAACTTCGGAAAAATGCTTAGCCACTTGTCAAGTTCCTGGCAACTCTCAAAGATTGACATATCATGCCAAAGGATGTGACTCAAAGAAAATTTGACGCCGGCATCCCTAACAGACAAACACAACACATTCTAAGCGTCTTATTGAGATAAAACGGTTCCCACTTAATCCCCAGCGCAGAGCGCATTTCAACCTATTTCCGAAGGCTGATTTGTGAGTGCCAAAATAGGGGTGTCGGGCGCAGATGGCGGGTCAATCCGGAGACTGCAAGGTTCTAAACATCTCTCAAACCCGTTGTGCATTCGAATTCAACCCAACAAACACCTACTGATTTTCCCTCTTTTTAATTCTTATCAATTCTTTTCATAAAGTTGGGCTAGAACCATTTGTCCAGAGTCAATTTAACCATTGACGTTCAACCCTACAATAGTTTCTCGCTTGGCATATGCGGAGTGACTTGCGCTTTCGGTCACCCTGTCGGTTGTTTTCCATCATTTTGCCAACTTTTGAAGGTGCAGGCACAAGAAAGCCGGTCACATCTTTTTTGCATCTGTCAGGAGTAGGCATATAAGGATTTGATGGGACAGTGTGTACTTTCGTTTCTGGGGGTTAGTGTTGTGATCCTTTCAGTGTAAAGAATAAACTTGTGCCTGGCAAAGGTCGAGGTTTGCGAACGCTCACTGGGACTTTATTTCAAATTGCCTTCCTTCCCATTCAATTCCTTTCAAAACTCTTATCCAGCTCAAACTCAGGTCGTGGAGTTGTGACGCTCATGGTGGCCGTCAAGGCGGACGTGCGGTTGCTTTTGCGCGGCACAACGGGCATGGGTCGTCAGCTCTGAGCTGAGTCGAGTCTCATTTTGTGAGGTGCCATGCTTTGCCGGAACCCCCTTTGAAACTGTGCGCTCTTCAGCTTAGACAACCTGGATTGAGACCCGGTTCCTATCAAAATCGAAGAGACCTCTTTCTCATGAGTTGAGGCACAGGAACGAACGGTTTCAAGCGTGACCTGCAGTCTGGAGCGATCGATGTTGTCTTCGTTGGAAAGGCTGTTTCGATGACTGGGATTTTATTGATGTGTTTTGCTGAGCCATGATTTTCACCTCCAAATCACACCAACGGGAGAGTAAACGTCCAAATTTTCAGCATCTGGAAGGCTTTTGGAGCAAACACTTGCAACAGGACCGCTGCTCCTTTGTTGCTGTGTGCACATTTGGGATGAGCATCCTTTGCTTCTGGGTTTCACTGCTCCTACGAAAGAATAGACAAACACCCTTCAGGTTAACCCAAAAATTGCACTTAGTACCACGGACAGGCTTGTTGAAATCCTTCCGGAAAGCAAGCCGCACAGAATAACGGAAGGATACTTTGCTGTGAAAACGCCGACCCGACTTCAGGTGCTCGCACTTGGACAGCAAGCATAACTTCCTGCTGAAGCTTCTATTTCACTGGTACCAATTCATCCAAATTAAGCATCTGGAAGGCTTGTGGAGCAAACACTTGCAACAGGACCGCTGCTCCTATGTTGCTATGTCCAGGTTTGGGATGAGCATCCTTTGCTTCTGGGCTTCACTGCTCCCACGAAAGAATTTGAATAGTCAAACATGTTGAGAAAGACTGACTTGTCAGAGCCCAAAAATTGCACCTTCCAAAAGAGACACAGAGACCACCCTCTTGCACTGGGAGTTCTGTGTTTTCTTTGCCAGTCATCACTCCATGAACCCTTCTGCTTGACAGTCTGTCTGGAGAGCTTCAGTCAAAATGTCACGCTTCAGCTGAGCTTTCCGCTCCAGCAAACTGGAGATGAATATCAGGTCCTGCAAACGACCATGTCTCGCTCATTCAGAAGCTGGGGATGTAACCGATGTAACCCATAAAAGTGGAGGAGTTGAATGGCTAATCTCAGCTATTCTCTGTTTAACCGTTAATCATAGTTCATCTCTATCTTCTAAAAAGAACAACCTGTCTTGTTGCGCCATGAGAACATGATTTCCGCACTATTTTTGGAAGGCGGTCCTGTCATGTCGCTAGAAACTTGCTAGAAACTTGAGGCCAAAGGGTAAGGAACGATTGCTAGGAGGGTGGGTCGAACATGGTCGAACCAAGAAGACGTAGAAACAAACCCTGACTTCTTCACCTGTCTGTGGAGCAGTCATAAGGCGTCGAAACTCCACTCCCCCCATCTAGATGATCGTTTGAAACACAAATCGTTGCAGGCATACGTAAATCTCTTGTTGAAACAAATGCACCTTGCTCACGAAGATGCTGAATCAATATGAAACCAATGTTGCTACTGCTGATGATGATCTTGGAAAGGAGGAAGAGTAGGGGAGCAGAGAACGCAGATGATGAGATGATGATGTCGAATCATAGTGATGAACACATGCACTGCTACTTTCACGATGTCTCCATTAACATCAGGAGAAAACGAGGGAAAAATATGAAAAAATCATGTATCACCGGCATGGTGTGCGGAGATTCGCTACTGAGAACAAGGCTGTATTTATATGGTTGAGTTTCATTTTTTCAAACTCTATTTGCATTGTTATTTTTTCTAGTTTTCCAGACCTCCAAATCCTGAGCCATTGCTGCCGTGGAGGGAGTGGGGGTAATGGGGTATGGGGGGAATTCCTGACCCGCTCAAAACAGAGGCTTCAAAAATGCCATTTAATTCATGCTTGGGTTTGAAAAACTGGTTTTGAGTAAGGTTCCCCTTTTGGCTGGATTTGAAATGTTCAATCTTCATTCTTTGTGTTTTTGGAAACCATGTTTTTAAGCGACAATATTGTAAAGAGAGCCTCTCTGCACGCCTGTCTCTGCGCCTTGCCTCCACACCTCCTGACCTTCCCCAGCAAAGCGACAGAAATCACCTTCAAGACACATTAGTTCTGCGGCTGCGAACACAATTCGATCATGAAAACACGCCCACCGCAACTGCCGCGCAACTGACGCTACCATCCACCAACCACCTAAACACGTTTACACTGTTTACACAAACAAACAAAGTGTTGCACGTAAGTTCTACCTCTGAAAATGCACCTTGATGCAACATGTCCACTGTGCAAAGTCTCATAGAGTTGCCCAAAGTAGCACGACGGAACACGCATACACTCAAGGCCCCTTCAACGCAGCAATTCCATAATGCAAAGTCACCAAGAGATGGCAAAAAAACAAAGCACGAGAGTGCAAACTTCAACCTGAGTCACCTGGACGCGGCAGTTAAACTGAGCGAAAAAGAGCCATGACTTGCAAAACACTGAAGCAATCTAAAGCACGAGAGTTAAAAAAAACAACACTGATCGAAATCACCTTGACGCAATGGTTAAGCCACTGCGAGCAGCAAATCGACCATGAAAATGCGCCCGCCGCACCTTGATGCAGCATTTTCACCGCGCAAAGACTCACTGCATGAGTTGCAAGAAAACATAAAACGCCGTGATATCGAGGGTGTGTGAGATTGAGATGCTGTGAAGTTTAGATGACATGAAGTTGGGATGCTGTGAAGTTTAGATGACATGAAGTTGAGATGCTGTGAAGTTTAGATGACATGAAGTTGAGATGCTGTGAAGTTTAGATGACATGAAGTTGAGATGCTGTGAAGTTGACATGACATGAGGACGAGATGCTGTGAAGTTGACATGACATGAAGTTGAGATGCCGTGAAGTTGAGATGACATGAAGTTGAGATGCTGTGAAGTTTAGATTACATGAAGTTGAGATGCTGTGAAGTTTAACATGACATTAAGTTGAATCTGTGAAAAGTTTGACATGCCATGAAGACCGAGATGCTGTGAAGTTGAGATGACATGAAGTTGAGATGCTGTGAAGTTGAGATGCTGTGGAGTTGGGATGCTTTGAAGTTTAGATGACATGAAGTTGAGATGCTGTGAAGTTTAGATTACATGAAGTTGAGATGCTGTGAAGTTGACATGACATGAAGACGAGATGCTGTGAAGTTGAGATGACATGAAGTTGAGATGCTGTGAAGTTTAGATTACATGAAGTTGAGATGCTGTGGAGTTGGGATGCTGTGAAGTTTAGATGACATGAAGTTGAGATGCTGTGAAGTTTAGATTACATGAAGTTGAGATGCTGTGAAGTTGACATGACATAAAGTTGAGATGCTGTGAAGTTTAGATTACATGAAGTTGAGATGCTGTGGAGTTGGGATGCTGTGAAGTTGAGATGACATGAAGTTGAGATGCTGTGAAGTTGAGATGCTGTGGAGTTGGGATGCTTTGAAGTTTAGATGACATGAAGTTGAGATGCTGTGAAATTTAGATTACATGAAGTTGAGATGCTGTGAAGTTGACATGACATGAAGACGAGATGCTGTGAAGTTGAGATGACATGAAGTTGAGATGCTGTGAAGTTTAGATTACATGAAGTTGAGATGCTGTGGAGTTGGGATGCTGTGAAGTTTAGATGACATGAAGTTGAGATGCTGTGAAGTTTAGATTACATGAAGTTGAGATGCTGTGAAGTTGACATGACATGAAGTTGAGATGCTGTGAAGTTGAGATGACATGAAGTTGAGATGCTGTGAAGTTGAGATGCTGTGGAGTTGGGATGCTGTGAAGTTTAGATGACATGAAGTTGAGATGTTGTGAAGTTTAGATTACATGAAGTTGAGATGCTGTGAAGTTGACATGACATGAAGACGAGATGCTGTGAAGTTGAGATGACATGAAGTTGAGATGCTGTGAAGTTGAGATGCTGTGGAGTTGGGATGCTGTGAAGTTTAGATGACATGAAGTTGAGATGCTGTGAAGTTTAGATTACATGAACTTGAGATGCTGTGAAGTTTAGATTACATGAAGATGAGATGCTGTGAAGTTGACATGACATGAAGACGAGATGCTGTGAAGTTGACATGACATGAAGACGAGATGCTGTGAAGTTGAGATGCTGTGAAGTTTAGATGACATGAAGTTGAGATGCTGTGAAGTTGAGATGACATGAAGTTGAGATGCTGTGACGTTTAGATGACATGAAGTTGAGATGCTGTGAAGTTGAGATTACATGAAGTTGAGATGCTGTGAAGTTTAGATGACATGAAGTTGAGATGCTGTGAAGTTTAGATGACATGAAGTTGAGATGCTGTGAAGTTTAGATGACATGAAGTTGAGATGCTGTGAAGTTTAGATGACATGAAGTTGAGATGCTGTGAAGTTTAGATGACATGAAGTTGAGATGCTGTGAAGTTGAGATGCTGTGAAGTTTAGATGACATGAAGTTGAGATGCTGTGAAGTTTAGATGACATGAAGTTTAGATGCTGTGAAGTTGAGATGACATGAAGTTGAGATGCTGTGAAGTTGAGATGACATGAAGTTGAGATGCTGTGAAGCTTGGATGACATGAAGTTGACATGTTGTGAAGTTTAAATGACATGAAGTTGAGATGCTGTGAAGTTTAGATGCCGTGAAGTTTAGATGCTGTGAAGTTGAGATGACATGAAGTTGAGATGACATGAAGTTGAGATGCTGTGAAGTTTAGATGACATGAAGTTGAGATGCTGTGAAGTTTAGATGACATAAAGTTGACATGCTGTGAAGGTTGGATGACATGAAGTTGAGATGCTGTGAAGTTTAGATGCCGTGAAGTTTAGATGCTGTGAAGTTTAGATGACATGAAGTTGAGATGCTGTGAAGCTTAGACGACATGAAGTTGACATGCTGTGAAGTTTAGATGACGTGAAGTTGAGATGCTGTGAAGTTTAGATGCCGTGAAGTTTAGATGCTGTGAAGTTGAGATGACATGAAGTTGAGATGCTGTGAAGTTGAGATGCTGTGAAGTTTAGATGACATGAAGTTGAGATGCTGTGAAGTTGAGATGACATGAAGTTGAGATGCTGTGAAGTTTAGATGACATGAAGTTGAGATGCTGTGAAGTTTAGATTACATGAACTTGAGATGCTGTGAAGTTGACATAACATGAAGACGAGATGATGTGAAGTTGACATGACATGAAGACGAGATGCTGTGAAGTTGAGATGACATGAAGTTGAGATGCTGTGAAGTTTAGATGACATGAAGTTGAGATGCTGTGAAGTTTAGATTACATGAACTTGAGATGCTGTGAAGTTTAGATGACATGAAGTTGAGATGCTGTGAAGGTTAGATGACATGAAGTTGAGATGCTGTGAAGTTGACATGACATGAAGTTGAGATGCTGTGAAGTTGAGATGACATGAAGTTGAGATGCTGTGAAGTTTAGATGACATGAAGTTGAGATGCTGTGAAGTTTAGATGACATGAAGACGAGATGCTGTGAAGTTGGGATGGTGTGAAAGTTGGGATTATGCAGAGTTGAGAAGGTGTGAAGTGCGGACTATGTGAGCTTGAGATGATGTGAAGTGGGGATTTAAAATTCATCCGCAACTTTGGTGGTACTGCTTGAGACGTCCTTTTATTGTATACCTTTCGAAAAAGTGATTTTTGGCTCCTTCAACCCGTCCCCGTTCATGGTAGAACAGGACAAGTTTGTCTGAAAATAGGGAACCCTATTCCATCTCATGGTTAAAGAACTTGAGGCCCAGGGGTAAGGGACAAAAGTTTGTGCCGTTTTTGCTGCCGGCGACATGAGTTTTTTTAACAACAAACCCACGGAGCCGACCTTCCACCAACATTGTGCACATGGGATCTTCCGGCCATAGGACCCAAAGAACAAGAGAAATAAGGTGGGAGTTTCATGCGATGTGAGATTCCAGCTCCCCCCATACTTGCTAAAGCAAGAGGGACTTCAGCTAGCAGAAGCTAGCTTTCGTGACAAAGTTGTCCCAAAATGGCAAGAACTTGGGGCATCCCCCATTTTTACAACACCCCCAAACCAATCCATGATTAAATCACCACTAAAAATTACTGTACATCTCCAATTTCAGGCTTGAGATGCTTTTCCAAATATACAAACAATTCCCGCAAACATTTCATGAACAATCCCTTCATTGTTTTCACACATCTGAAATAACCTAAGCAGCGAATGATAACCCCAATGTCAAGCATCATGTGTCGTACCGGTAATAAGGAGTGCCGCTGCCAGTCTTTATCGGAAATTTACCCAAATCATTTTTGGTGCGGTCCTCTTTGAGGTGATGAGCAGCGTCCAGCTTCGCCAGCTTTGCCAGCTTCGCCTTCGCCATGGCACTCAGCTGCGGCTGCGGAACACGGCGCGTCCGAGATTTCGCCCTGCAGGGACGTAGAAAAACGGATGTGCCTTTTCTTTGGGATTCATGCGTATAAGCATACATAAGGGATATACCATGAGCAAATCAACAAATAGGGCCAAATAGGAGCATTAGATCATTAGGAGTCCTTGAGTTCTCCTTCGACTTCTTGAATCCAGTGACAAAAACCATATATTCTGTTCTGATACAGTTCTGAACTCCTCGCTCTTGCAGCTGCATGGTTTCAATTGCATTCGCAACTGAGGCTTGAAAAGAATATCGGACGGAAAAGGCAGCTTCAACAGCAGAACATGAATGAAGACAACGCGCTTCACTGGTGGTTTCAAACATTAAATGTGTGTGGGTCAACCCTATTGAAAAATGATCCCCAATTCCAGCGCTTCGAATGGTTCTGCCAAAGGTCCTCAGTGCTTCCTTTGCTGGATTTCTATTCGCCAATCCTATGCCAATCATTTGTTGGTCCCCCTCTGATTCCACTGCAAGGAGCATGCGCCGTTAGATGTTACTGGTGTAGATGGGCCACCAAGCTTGGAGTTGTTGCGCCGTTGCGCCACTCGTTGCGATGATGACCTATAGGATAGTGCCACTTCATCACATCAGGATAGTCATGAGTCCACTACATTAGGCCTACCTCTACTGTAGCCTGCGCCATGACTATCCACCGGATTCCTTGGTGACTCCAATGTCCAAACATCTACTGGGGCCTTAGACTTTGATCAAACCAAAACCGGAAACAACTGTGTGAGTTGATAAGTTCACAAAGAATCTGTTTGGTAGCAAAGCGCGGCACGCGCCCTTGTTTTGCTTGGGCAATCAAAAGCCTGCATGAATAGTCAAATGAGTGAATTGCTGTGTATATGGGCAATGCGGCGACGGGTCATGTTTGTCACCCTGCCTTTTGTGAAAGGTTTCCAGGCTATTTTGCCTAGACCTTGAACAAACTTTCACACATGCCCGTCTGCATCGTCCTCTACCGGTGGGTCCTTTGACCAAAGCACTGTTGTACCTTTTCCACCGCATTTTCCTTTCGATTTGGCCTTTGGCTCTGCAGTCACTCCTGGTGTATCAGTTGTTGATCCAGGTTCTTCTGTGACGACAGGTGGTGGTGGCAGCGCTGGTGCATGTGCGCTGCTCGAAGCTCCGATGTCCGTGTCCTCGATGATGGCCACGCTTCCTGTTGCACTCGGGCTCCATGAACCTTCATCATCACTTTCATATGGCTGCCCTCCAACTGGTTCTCCCCATCCATAATGGGCTGCTAACCATTCATCTGGCATGTCCGACTCCTCCAAGGATTCACCAGGTTGAATGCGACCAGCTTCATACCAAAATTGGTATCTCTTCCTTGCAAGTAGGAAACGGATCACCTTCTTGCGCTCTTCAACTCCTCCAAGTTGAACTGCCTTGTGCATTGCAAAGAGCTCCTGTATCGCGATCCAAATCTCCCTGGTGACCGGCCAACTCCTGCGGTAGGACGAGGTAGGACAGCTTGCGCACGATGTAGTGCTCCACACCGCGACTTTCACTGAGCACGATGAACCTGTAGTCGTCATACTCAGTCGGCTCGAGGTTCTCAAAGACACTGAAGTCCTCGTCCACCATGCCAACTGAGCCATAGTCCGTCTCCATGTCATCGTCGCTCTCTTCCTCTTCCTGTTCTTGCTCCATCTTGCATTCACCTGAAGGTCCTTCACCATGAATTGAAATGCTATCCACGTCGAAGTCGAAATCATAAGCTCCATCACCTAGTGGTACTGCACGATCACCACCAGCTTCAGCTCCAGGATCGACTTCAACTTCGATCTCTTCCATCTCAAATTCTCCACCTTCTTCCATGCCATTGTTGAACTCCTCCAGGGTCATTCTGCGGATATGCGCAGCTCCATTCATTGTTGGCTGTTCTTCTCCTGGAAGTTGTTCTTCTTCTTGAAACTCCTCATTCTCATCTCCAGACTCTTCATCGGTATCGTTCAACCAAACTCCAAGTCGTTGCTGCTCCTCTTCTCTGATCATTCTCCTGTCTCTCGACTGTCTCCACTGCGTTCTGACCCAATCCATTGCTTCTCTTGTTGCTTCGATCCGAAGGTGCATCACGTACATAATCTTCAGCAACGTCATGACCGCGATCACCAAAACCACGATGATGGACACCAAGAAGAAAATAGTCCACGGGGTAGTGACCTCGGTCGTCTCCACTGAAACAAAGCACTGTGCATTGCTCTCCATGTTGTAGGGCAGGCTCAAGGCTTCTCCTCCACCGAAAAGTAAAGTGCCAACTGATAGCCTCAGCAAACGCTTTGCCACCTTGTTGAGAAGTGTGCTGCTCTGACCCTGTTGAGCTTCTGGAACTTCAGCTTGCACAATCTTTCTGATCGCCGGCAGCTGTTCTCTGCTCTCCTTCTTCAGCCTCTCCTGTTCAAACTCTGCATGTCCCAGGTCACCATCGTCACTCTGGAAACCAAGTAGATGTAGTAGAAGTCGTACCCGTCGACCTCCAAGAACCTTCGTTCCCATGTCTGCCGGGTTTGTCAAAGTATCTACCCTTCGAAGTTGTAGGTCTCCAAGCTGTTGACGTTGTTGCATCCATAGCAAACGTCCATCAAGATGCTTCAGTCTCGAAACACCCTCTCGCATTCCGATGGCAATTGCTGAAGTGTTGTCACCCAAAACTTTGAGCTCCACCACGCCACAAACCAAATGTTGCACCACGGCCTTCAAGAAAAGCCCCTCTGACGCTCCTCCAACCAAAGCAACATATTCAGCTTCTGTGCTGCTCAGCGTGATGTGCTTCTGGGTGCGCGAGTAACCAAACAGCCAAAAGCCACCGAGGAAAACCATGCCACAACTCGTAGATGACCTTGTCTCCTTCTGTCCATTCCAGTCGTCAGAGTCAGTTGCTACTTCCAAAAGCCATACCTCCTTGCCGTCCACATACTCTGGGCCCGTAGCCAAACCAACCGCTCGGCTTCTGAAACTTGTTGATGGATCTGTGCCCTTCATGCACAGATGGAAATCTCTGGTTGCATGCATGTAGCCGACGAGGTTGTGGAGTGTTGCCATCGCTCCCTTCGTCGGTGATTGAAGCTTTGCCGCCAGCTCCTTGATCAGGTATTGCACATCAGGTCTATCTCCAGAAACATAAAGAAGTGTTCCAACGCACGATCGGAACAATTTCACTTCCTCCTCTGTCTCCAGCAAGTTGTTGTCAATGATCAAGTCACCCGGTGTGCGGCGCCTTCGAACTCCTCCAAGCAAAGAGACCAGTCCATCGATGTACTTCGGGTTCACTCTGATTCTTGTTGTTCCATCCACGATCTCAATGCTCCTCTTGAGGAAACTCAAAGTGTCACCACTCTCCACCGACAGCTTGTAGTGCTCCTTCAGGAACCTTTCCACTCTGTCCAACTCACTCTCGATGCCTCCCATCACGATGTCATCAACGTGCACCATGAGAGACAAAGTTCTGGAAGAATTGGTCCAAATTGTTGGTGTTTCAGGACATTGGAGAAGATCTGCAGCTTTGAGCTTGGACTTCAAGTCGTTGAACCAAACTGCAGCTCCTTCTCGTTGGCCGGGCAAAACCTTTCCAAGAACCCATTCACGATCCACTCCAAGTTGCCTTGCCAACTCCATGCTAAGCACCACCTTGACTGACTTGGGTTGGTCGCACATCAAGTATGCGTCCTTCACATCTGCCACCCTCATGCTCCATTGTTGAAGCTGACTCAATGCTGGGATCAGCCGCATTGCGGATTGCGTCCCAGTCGGTGCAAAAGTGTCGCTCCTATTGGGGTCCAACCAATTGAAATCACGTGCCACCAAACGTGCACGTCTCACCCATGCATTCTGCCTGAACCTCCAATCACATACCAATCTCGTTGTCAGCGTTGGGATCTGGTTGATGTCCTCTTCCAAGTTGGGCCTCCTCAAAACGCCCATGTCGATCAGCCGCAAGATTTCTGTTTGGGCTGCTTCTGCTTCCACCTGAGCCAACTCATCTGGTCCAAGGTCAGGTGGCTTGTAGGGGAACTCCATGTCCAAATCTCCATCAGCCAAGATCTCGCCATTCACGACCATTCTCACCGTTGGTTCACCTGCAGGTTGAGCTTCATCACCTCCACCATGTGTTGATGATGCCATAGCTGAACTTGATGATGTAGTAGGCTCCCCAAGACGTGGTACCTTTCTCGATGTTGTCCTTGCCGATTTCGCTGGGCTCTGCTCATCTTCATCTGCAACTTGTCCACCACGTTTTGGAGAAGTCTCCACACCACTTGCATACTCCTTTGGATCCTTCACCTCGGCCAGCAAATCCTCCAACAAAGTGTCGTCATCCACATCACCACGTTGTGAAGCCATAGCTGAAGAACTGCTCGAAGATTTCGAAGTAGGGTCTGATGCTGCCTCATCCAAAGACCCTGCCTGCCTTTGATCTCCTTCTCCTTCTGCAGCTCCTTGTTGTTCAGCTTGTTGTGGACCTCTCCTGGCTTCAAGAGCTGCTTGTTGCCTCTCCTGCCGCTCTTGAAGTCGTATTGGACCTGCCATGTCTGGTGGTAGAGCCACATTCTCGGTCTTTGCCATCAGTGGTGTACTCTTGGTTCCAATCTGGCCATAGGAGACATTCCATGGCCAGGTTCTCACATTGTTGAGGATGGTGGCATCAAACCCCGCAGGTAGGCGACGAATTGTCCTTGTCCACCTCAGCCCATCTGTAGTTGCAACGATGTGGAAGTCAGCTCTGTCTGTCTTTCCCAACCACACCGACGGCTTGAAGCGGTCGTCACCTGCACCACCTGGAAGTCTAGCCATCACCCTCTCACCAAAGATTGCCAGCTTTCCTTGGTACTTCCTGCCGGTGGTTTGTTCATATGCTGTTGCACTCCCATTGTGACGGCAGAAGTGCGTGATGAGCCATCCAGCATGCCTCATAGCCCACTGGAAAAGGGGTCCTTGACAGTTGATTCTGATACCAGCGCCCTCACTCAACCTTCTCACAAGTGTCCTTGCAAGGCCTCTCACAGTCTGGATCTCCCTCTCCACACGACCATTTCCTTGGCTATCTCCAGGGCCGCTATGTTCCACCAACGTCTTGAAACCAAGTTTCTGCCGGCACTTCTGGATGATGTCGACCAAGAGACGTGTGGAAGGTTCACCATCAGCCTTGATGATGCACGTTGAGAAACTGCAGGCACCTATGTATCGAACCACCTGCTCTGCCAAGAATTTTGCATGCCGTCGACCTTTTCCTGGTGTAGGTAGGGCCATCACACCTCTCGTCCAATGATCTGTCACCACCAAAGCCAGACCACCTTTCACATCTCCTCCATAAAGACGCAGGTCTTCCTTGTCGATCTCCTCTGGCTCCTCCAGACCTCTGGTGTAGCAGAAATCCATTGAAACAACTGGATACTCTGATTTTCCTTCAGCACGCATTGAACCTTGAAGTCGATGAGGATCTGAACGTGCTCGGGCTGCAACACAGCTTTCACACCAATCAGCAAAGGGCCAATGGGTCAGCTCATGCACCTGCCTCTCTGCCTTTGTTGGCAGTCGAGGGATCATCTGACCACGTGCATCACTTCCACCATCAGCCATCTTCTTCCTCTCAAACTCCCGCTGTGCAAGTTCCACGGCCAAATTCAGCAAAATGCTGGTGATACTCCACGAGCCTCTTCCATGCGTCAGCCTTGCTTCTCCCTTTGGGTAGGCCGTACATTCGAAGGCCTGTTCTCAGCTTTGAAAGCGCCATTCCTTTGTTGAACTTCTCTCCATCGATGTCGATCTCTTCTGGTTCTTCTTCTGCAAGACGTTGAGGTACTTCTCGATGTGCAGGGTCTCCTTCTCCTGTTTCTGGTTGTGGACCCATGCCCTCATCATCATCGACCTCGTACACTCCATCTTCCAATGTCTTGCCATGCCAGCCAAAACCTTGTACTTCCTTTCCTTGTTCTCCTTTGGGCTCATCTGGGCGTAGTGCTGGTTGAAGAAAAGGATCATCTGAACCTGTATGAATGGTTCCAACAGCGTTCACATCATGAGCTTCTCGATGGAAGAAAGTGACCACCGTGGTGAGCTCATCCCCGCACTCAGGAATCACACCCTCACTGTTGCTTGTCTCTGCCACTTCCACGACCTCCCAAACTCTGCCTTTCAGCACGATTGTTGAGCGGTACTGGAAGTCATTCCTGTTGAACTGCGGGAAGGAGTCCTTGAAGTGGTTGCTGTTGGGCACGACCAAGAAGGGTACCTTCCTATCCATTGACAAGTGCCATCCAGGAACTGTAAGAAGGCTGTTCATCATCCCTTCAAAACTCATGGTGACCTGTCGAACCACAGGCCCGGCTGACACCTTTGTCGGCTTCTCCACAATCTCCACCATCCTGATCTCAGCCTCCAGCGCCAAGCTGTTGCTTTTGAAACCCACGGTCTTGTAGAAGTCTCCATGGATGAGTTTCACCTCGCCTCCACTGCCTTCTACCTTCCAACCACGTTTCAACATCTTTCCAAGAGCCAACAGTGGGTCTGAAACATTCGACAGTGCAAACGTTTCCCTGAGCTCCACAATGCTCCCTTGATCATCTTCCATAGTCACCACAGCTTGCCGTAGGGCTCCACCTGGCATGCGGTTGCCTTGAGCATCTCGAAGGACGCTTGTCCTTGAAAGGGATTTTCCATAGTTCTTGTAAGACAGCGGCAACACTGAAACATCTGCACCACTGTCCAAGATGATGCTAACTGCATCACCAGTTGTGACTCCTCGAATCACTGCCTGATCTGCATGACGTCCTTGGCAAACTTCTGAATCAAATGGTGGTGGCCTCAAACCAAAATCCAATTTCTTGCCATAGGTCTCCACAGGGATGTCCTTGAAGTTCTCGAAATAGGCCCCATGCTGGTCCTCCTCGGTGTTGCAGACATACCAGTCATCATCGCTGTCACTGTATGTCATGTCATAGACACCTCCATCGACCATCCTAACATAGGGCTCCACCGGGATCTCATCCTCGTCCAAGTTGAGGTATGTCACCCTCCTGACAGCTGTTGACATAGTTGTTGTAGGTGAGCCTTGAACGGCACCTCCACTTCCAGTTGCACCACTCACCAACGACTGCGTATTCACTGTCGAAACTGAATCCTGTGCAACTTGCCTCAAAGTTCGAACTGGGCACTCTCGAGACCAGTGCCCCCTGTTGCCACACAGCTTGCACATGTCGTTGGGCAGACCTTTGCCCTTTCCTCTTCCTGCATCTCCCTGTTTTCCATAGTCCTTAGACTTGCCCTTGTCCTTGTTCTTGGACTTTCCACCATCTTTGAACTTGCCTTTGCCCTTGACGTCCTTGCCAGAACTTTTCAATTTTCCTTTCTCTTTTCCCTTCTGCTTGCCCTTGATGCGGTCTATCTCCATGGGGACCGCCTCATCAACCTTTTTGTCCTTCTTGATGTCAAGCTCCCTGTACACCGTGTGTGAGCTCCACGATGTTGTAGTGCGCTCATAGGCCAAGACCTTCTCCCGCACTGACAAGTAGTCTGCGCTTTCATCCATCTGCAGTTGTAGGTGTTGTCGAAGATTGTTGGGGACCACCTTGAGCAGAACTGACAGCTTTGTATTGTCACTCAGCTCCTCCTTCGACACCTGGGCATACTCCTCGGCCAAGCGCTCCAAGCCCAAGACCTGCTCCAAGACGCCGTCCTTCTTGAACGGGGGGTGGGCCAAGAAGGCCTGTAAGAGAGCAATTGACCGCGCCCTTGTCCTCGGCTGCATCTGCTGTGACAATTGTCTCCAAACCTCCAGTCCATTGCGTCCCTCAACGCTTCTCAAGATCTTCAGTGGCCTGTTCCTCAGCAAGCCCACCAAGATCGAGTGAAGCTTCTCCGACCGACCATGCTGCGCAGTTGTCATCTCCACGAAGTCCATAGGTGAGGTGGCTGTTTCAGCCTCATTTAGGTCCTTCTCGAAGTCTTCCTGGGCGTAAACCAACCAGCTTCGAAACGTCAACCGCCAATCCTGCCACTGGCTGTGCTCTTCTTCATCGGCATAGGCTGCTCCCAACATGGCCCAACACAGAACACATCTGGTGAAAGGAGGCATATATCTGAGGTCATCATTAAAAACATTCTATGACTGACTCACTGTAAAAAATCGATAAAGATCAGGTCTAGCTAATATGGAAACCGGTTCAGGAAGGAATTTGGAGTCTAATGCCAGGAGTTGAAAGTTTGGAGAGTGCAGATACCAAGGAAAACTGAAGAAAACTGAAGAAAAACAAATCACAAAAAAAATACGGAGACCCCAAGCTCGCAGGTGGGGTAGAAACATGATAAAAATGCGGGTTGTTTGATTCTCATTGTCGCATTATTGTTGACCTGCCAGAAAGAATTCAAAAATAACATGCAAGTAAGTCAAATAAAAGAAAGTGAGGCGCGCTTTATCATATTTCCACTTTTCATCGCTCTGTCCATGCGAGGTTCCTCCATGAATCACGCGGCTGGGAGCTTGGAAATCACCTCTTGAGAAAATCCTCCATCAGACACCTTGAGATAATCACAGAATGTCACAGATTATTCTGGAATGAAAACCGACATCACGGAAATGTGCTACGTGTCGCTGGCTACTGATATCCGCAGTTGGCTTGCAAGTTCCACCGTTCTTTGCCCACGCATGTGGAAAATGGAAACAAACCGATGGGCACATTGATCTTTGGCAGAAGTTCTTATCTGGCAGTCGGCGCTTTAGAATCTGGCGGTAAAAGCAAAATCTGTTTGACACCTTGCACTGGACTCAGACAGCTGAGTCGCAGGCACTAAATTCAAGACTGGCAATGGCAGCCATTGATGGGATGTTTGAACCACGTGCCCTCCCAAAAGGTCCAAAGCACACTTCTTCTGCCAAACATGGCCTCGCAATTCTTTTTGTTTACCTGTCGAGCGTTGAGATTCAGCCTTGTCTTTTCTCGCAGGTCAATCAACTGACAAGACTGGGCCTCAACTTGCGGGAGCGTCTCATAAAGAGGAATATCCCAAAATGCGTATTTCAAGTGGGGACAAGGATGAATGATGATGAACCATGATATTTTGGGGTTGAATGGTTTGAGACAACACCATGTTGCCGTCGGCAGATCCCACGCCGGACGCCTACGGCACACATCAGGACAGACCAGCCACCGACTGTACCACAAAATCTAAAGCCTTGTGTTGGATCTTGTTGGTCCCATCATGTCCCATCCTGGCCCATCCTACAATCTTTATCAAACGGTATATCCGCGGTTCCTTGCCTTGGACTCTGCAAAATAAAGGGATATCTTCCCAAGTATATCTGTTGTCTACAAGCCGAACGTCAAGGGCAGCTGTCACCAATTTTCTGTGAAGGTTGCTTTTCTTTGATAACACCCTGGAAGCTGTAATAGCCCATGGCTTTGCTAACCAGCCAAACTCGAGAGTGACACAACGGCAACAACGTGTCGTGCGCTCCTTTGCGCGCAACGCTTCTGCGCCAAGATACCCAAGAATTGGTAGTGGTTTGTGCCAAACGAAAGAGGACAAATTATTTGACCAAAAACAATTGTAATGTTTTTATCCATTGGTGTCCCTTTTATATGGGTAGCAACTGAGGGTGAAGGTCACAAGTTGGAATTTGAAGCTGTGTCAGTTTTGTCAATTGGCTGCACTCTTCGCCTGCGAGAACAAGATCTGGCCAATCCGACACCTCTCGATACGCCATCGATGGTTGCCACCATTGGAAGCCTGGTCACGAAAGTGCGGGGAAATTTTGGGATGCAACGATGCCCACACATTGGCATTGCTGCACAACAGCATGTTGACATGTTGCTGGCCGTTTGGGCTTCCAGTCTTCACTTGAGAGGGGGAACACGAAAGGTAGGTGAGCAAGAAAGGGTTGTTGGTGTTGGTGGTGTTGGTGGTGTTGCTAGTGTTGCTGGTGTGGTTGGGTTTGTTGGTGGTGCTGGTAGTGTTGGTGGTGTTGGTGTTGTTGGTTGTGTTGGTGGTGTTGGTGTTGTTGGTGTTGTTTGTGTTGTTTGTGTTGTTGTTGTTGTTGTTGTTGTTGTTGTTGTGGGTGTTGTTGTTGTTGTTGTCGTTGTCGTTGTCGTTGTCGTCGTCGACGTTGTCGTCGACGTTGTCGTCCTTGTTGTCCTTGTCGTCGTTGTGGTCGTTGTCGTTGCCGTTGTCGTTGTCGTTCTCGTTCTCGTTCTCGTTGTCGTTGTCGATGTCGTTGTCGTTGTCGTTGTCGTTGTCGTTGTCGTTGTCGTTGTTGTTGTCGTTGTTGTTGTTGTGGTTGTTGCTGTTGCTGTTGCTGTTGCTGTTGTGGTTTGTGATTGTGGTTGTGGTTGTGGTTGTGGTTGTGGTTGCGGTTGTTGTTGTTGTTGTTGTTGTTGTTGTTGTGGTAGTTGTTGTTGTGGTTGTGGTTGTGGTTGTGGTTGCGGTTGTTGTTGTTGTTGTTGTTGTTGTGGTAGTTGTTGTTGTGGTTGTGGTTGTGGTTGTGGTTGTGGTTGCGGTTGTTGTTGTTGTTGTTGTTGTTCTTGTTCTTGTTCTTGTTCTTGTTCTTGTTCTTGTTGTTGTTGTTGTTGTGGTTGTGGTTGTCGTTGTCGTTGTCGTTGTCTTTGTTGTTGTTGTGTTTCTTGCTGTTGGTGTTGGTGTTGGTGTTGTTGTTGTGGTTTGTGATTGTGGTAGTGGTTGTGGTTGCTGTTGTTGTTGTGGTTGTTGTTGTTGTCGTTGTCGTTGTCGTTGTCGTCGTCGACGTTGTCGTCGACGTTGTCGTCCTTGTCGTCCTTGTCGTCGTTGTGGTCGTTGTCGTTGCCGGTGTCGTTGTCGTTCTCGTTCTCGTTGTCGTTGTCGTTGTCGATGTCGTTGTCGTTGTCGTTGTTGTTGTCGTTGTCGTTGTCGTTGTCGTTGTCGTTGTCGTTGTTGTTGTCGTTGGTGGTGTTGGTGGTGTTGGTGGTGGTGTTGGTGTTGGTGGTGTTGTTGGTGTTGTTGGTGTTGTTGGTGTTGTTGGTGTTGTTGGTGTTGTTGGTGTTGTTGTTGTTGTTGGTTGTTGTTGGTGTTGTTGGTGTTGTTGGTGTTGTTGTTGTTGTTGTTGCTGTTGTTGTTGTTGATGGTGGTGGTGGTGTGGTGGTGTGGTGTTGGTGGTGTTGGTGGTGTTGGGTTGTTGGTGTTTGGTGTTGGTGGTGTTGGTGGTGTTGGTGGTGTTGGTGTTGGTGGTGTTGGTGGTGTTGGTGGTGTTGGTGGTGTTGGTGGTGTTGTTGGTGTTGTTGGTGTTGTTGGTGTTGTTGGTGTTGTTGGTGTTGTTGGTGTTGCTGGTGTTGCTGGTGTTGCTGGTGTTGCTGTTGTTGCTGGTGTTGCTAGTGTTGCTAGTGTTGTTGGTGTTGTTGGTGTTGTTGGTGTTGTTGGTGTTGTTGGTGTTGGTGGTGTTGTTGGTGTTGTTGGTGTTGTTGGTGTTGTTGGTGTTGTTGGTGTTGTTGGTGTTGTTGGTGTTGCTGGTGTTGCTGATGTTGCTGGTGTGTCTGGTGTTGTTGGTGTTGTTGGTGTTGTTGGTGTTGTTGGTGATGTTGGTGATGTTGGTGATGTTGGTGATGTTGGTGATGTTGGTGTTGTTCTTCTTGTTCTTGTTCTTGTTGTTCTTGTTCTTGTTGTTCTTGTTCTTGTTCTTGTTCTTGTTCTTGTTGTTCTTGTTGTTCTTGTTGTTCTTGTTGTTGTTGTTGTTGTTGGTGGTGGTGGTGGTGGTGGTGTTACCCCTGCAGCTTTTTTTCTCGGTTCCGTAGTGGCCGAAAATCGTGATATAGGTGGTGTTTTCGCGTGTTTTTACAACTCGCGGACCAACAAACACTGTAAATACCGATGTTTTTGACAGGTCGGAAGCTCAACACCACGGTATGTACGATGATTTCCCCTCTGGTAGCAAAAAGCACGGTATTTACAATGTTTTTTGGCCAGCACCTAGCACAAACACTGGTATTTACGGAGGTTTCACCATGTAACAAAATGTGGTTTCGTGATTGGAAAAGAACAAAAATACTGTAAATTACAATGTTTTGAGTCTGGTCTTAGGGTGCGTGGGAGGCGTGGAGGGGGGGAGGGGGGGGGTACTGAAATGACTAGCAATCTCCTGAATAATCAGGTAATGGGGCTGGCCGCCCTCCCCTTTACTTCGTAAAGCAAAACTCAAGGTAGCCCCACTGGAGCTACCTTTCGTGATCTTTGCCCAGTGCAAAAATGGTTTTGACATGAGGCTCTAGTCTGCGGCTGCTTGATCAATCGAAGAAAACACAGGAAATGCTAGTGGTTCAGGGCAAGCACAAAGTACATTCCTTGTTATCCTTTTTTCAGATGGTTCAACAGTCATTGTGAGAACAACGTTCGCTCCACAGGGCCCCGTCCCGGCGCCTCCCACTTTTCCCAACAACTTGGGCTATCCTCGATAGAGGTCCCCTTCACCGCAGGACTTGCACCATGCGGTATAAGCCTGGCCCAAGCAGAGCCCTTCACCAACTCTTTCTGAATCGAAGAGTGAAATTCTACATGCCATGCCCATAGACATGGCAGTGTCATCCTTTAAGCGGATGGCCGCTGAAACCTATCATGGGTGCAGTAAATCGTGATAAATCCATGGCATGTCCCATCTAAGTTGGTCATGGAAGATCCAGCATGAACACTTCTCCCATGGATAGTTTTATGTTTTCCAATGCGACTACAGTCTCCACTGCACGAGGAGGTAATAAATTGATAGCCGGGTGCCTGCCAAGAATTCGAAGGCATCACGCCGAGCTTGAGCCACCAAATTCCTGCGGAACACCCGTTTGTTCTGAGTAAATACCATTGAATCTGCCTAAAATAGAAATTCACAGGGAGTCCTGAGTTTCGATGGGTAGCCACATCTGTTTGGTAAGGATTCATCCCTACAGGAGAAAAATCAAGTACAAAATGTTGCAACATCACCGCATAGTCGAAGCATGAGTTTCTGGAACCATATCATATGCAAGTAGAACAAGTCAAAATGATGCGCATTTTCTCATATCTCCACTTTTCGCTCTGTCAGTGGCAGGTTCATTGCTCCATAGATGACGCGGCTGTGAGCTTGTGCATAATTTTTTGAATTTTGGCGTGAGAACAAAAATCACGAGAACGCCTTCTGCACACACGGAAGTGTGCTGCGTGCCGCAGGCTGCTGATATCTGCAGTTGGGTTGCAAGTTCCACCTTTCTTTGCCCATAGATTTGGAATGTGGAAACAAACCCAACGGGCACGCTGATCTTTAGCAGAATAGTTCTTATCTGGCAGCTTCGGCAACACGACTGCAACATGATCATAGGCTAGTTCCCCACAAACTCTGGTTTTTTCATGATTTTTCAAGTGTTGCCTATACATTGCACTGGACTAGACAGCTGAGTCGCAGGCACTAAATTCAAGACTGGCAAGGAAAGCCATTGATGGGATATTGGAACCCCGTGGCCTCCCAAAAGGTCTAAAGCACACTTCTTCTGCCGAACATGCCTCGCACTTCTTTTTGTTTACCTGTCGAGTGTTGAGACTCAGCAGTGTTTTTTTGCAGGTCAATCGATTGACAAAGCCGTGCCGCAACTCGAGGGATTGTCTCTAAAATTCCCCAACGTGCGTATTTCCATTGGAATAAGGATGATGAACCATGGTCCCAATGGTAGTCTGGGGACAAACATTTTGAGACAACCCCATGTCAAGATGTCCACCAATTCAACTTTTCTCCTGCCAAGGGCAGCTCCCCTGGCGAACGCCTATGGTTTTGCTGTGCTCATCGGTCTCATCCCACTCAGCAGCCTTTCGTATAGAAGCTGTCGCTTGCCTCGGGCCCACCTGCTTGGTGAGTAAAGAAGGGGATCTCTTCCCAACTACCCCTGCTGGCTACAAGCCAAATGTCAAGCCCCAGTGAAATGATAAAAATTGGCTACCAATTTTTTTTCCAGGAATGTTGTTTTTTGTTGAGCACCTTTGAAGCTGCAATATCCCATTCCTTGCTGACTGTTCAAATCAGTCAAACTCGACAGTGACACAACGGCACCCACGTGCCGTCACGTGCCGTGCGCTCCCGTGCAACGGTTCTGCGCCAAGAGTGATCGGTACGTGTTACAGTATCAAAAATACTGGCATCGAAGGTGCTAAACTCAACGCCAAAGATTGTCATATACAGGAGTTGTCTGAAAAGGCTACTCGTTCTGCTATTTGGGGCGGTCTTGCAGGCCAAAAAACACAGTGACGCGGTTTGGTTCTGAATCTGTCGCACGTGGGAAACTTGATGTTTTGACCTGTAAATCCTGTAAACATTCAAACCATTTCAAACCTAATACTACTTTGGAACCACAATTGATACTTAAAATTCTGCTCGAGCGTTTCTTGCACAAAAAGAGTTCGACAAAATGGTACCCGCTGTGGTGCATTATGGTTCAATCCAAGAAAATTGCGGGGACGAGATTTCAAAATTGATATGTTGAATTCAGTAAAAATGCAGTAGCAGTAGTCCTCCCAACCTGCTTCGCACCAACATGGCGACGGATGGGCATGGCCACAGACAGCCACCTTGATTTGGAAACTCGATGCTGTCGCGGGGTTTTTGCATGGCTTTCGCACCACTTTCACTGATTGGACACCAAAGACGAGTTGTTTGAAAAGGCTGCTCCTTCTGCAAATTCGGGGCAGCCTGGCGTGCCTAACAAACACAGGTTAACATGGCTCGGTTCGGAATCTTTCTCATTTGGGCAACTTAATGTTTGCCCCACATTACCCTGCACCCCCGGGTAGTCCACCTGGCCGTCCATGGAGGACAACTTGAAACTCCTTGAAGAGTACATGAAATACTTTGGGACGCTAAAATTGCAGCTTAAAGACAACAGCCAAAAACGCCGGCGTGTAATTGTCACGCCTCTTTTGCGGCGATGGAGTTTTAGGCTTGGACAGCTCCCCTGCGACAGCACCCGGCAACAACAACTTGTGGCAAACGCGCTTTCTGGAACAACGTTCTGCTGGAACGTAAAATGAAGCTAGATGCGCCAAGCCCTTCCCTGCTGAGCTACTCACAGACTAGGCCCTAGCACTAGTCAGCCATTTGCTGCGCGGTCTAAATTGAAGCAAACTCTTGAAACCATTTGCTTGCTTGTAAGTGTCCTGGTGACAGAATAGGGCCCCGGAAGAAATGCCACTTCTATTGCGCAAACATCTTGGCACGGTGGCAGTTCTGGAACCTTCTGGCCAAATTACGATTTAATACCATCTACAGTCTACAGTACACATTGTTTTCTATGGACCCTCGAACATGTACTCTTGCACGCTTGACCGCGTCCCAGAACAACATCTCCTTGCTTACAAACCTTGCAAGAGTGCCAATGCCAGAAGCTTCACAGACTCCACTTTGGCTGCAGATACCAAATTCAAAACTGCATAGCTTGTTTGAAAACGCTACTCCTTCTGCTATTTGGGGCGGTCTTGCAGGCCAAAAACACACTGACGCGGTTTGCTTCTGAGTCTGTCGCACGTGGGAAACTTGATGTTTTGACCTGTAAATCCTGTAAACATTCATTTCAAATGGTTTAGGCTTGGACAGCTCCCCTGCGACAGCACCGGGCAACAACAACTTGTGGCAAACGCGCTTTCTGGAACAACGTTCTGCTGGAACGTAAAATGAAGCTAGATGCGCCAAGCCCTTCCCTGGTGAGCTACTCATAGACTAGACCCTAGCACTAGTCAGCCATTTGCTTCGCGGTCCAAATGAAGCAAACTCTTGAACCCATTTGTTCTTGGTCCTATGGCTCTATTGCTTATAAGTGTCCTGGCGACAGAATAAGACCCCGGAAGAAATGCCACTTCTGCTCGAGCGTTTCTTGCACAAAAAGAGTTCGACAAAATGGTACCCGCTGTGGTGCATTATGGTTCAATCCAAGAAAATTGCGGGGACGAGATTTCAAAATTGATATGTTGAATTCAGTAAAAATGCAGTAGCAGTAGTCCTCCCAACCTGCTTCGCACCAACATGGCGACGGATGGGCATGGCCACAGACAGCCACCTTGATTTGGAAACTCGATGCTGTCGCGGGGTTTTTGCATGGCTTTCGCACCACTTTCACTGATTGGACACCAAAGACGAGTTGTTTGAAAAGGCTGCTCCTTCTGCAAATTCGGGGCAGCCTGGCGTGCCTAACAAACACAGGTTAACATGGCTCGGTTCGGAATCTTTCTCATTTGGGCAACTTAATGTTTGCCCAACATTACCCTGGACCCCCGGGTAGTCCACCTGGCCGTCCATGGAGGACAACTTGAAACTCCTTGAAGAGAAATACTTTGGGACGCTAAAATTGCAGCTTAAAGACAACAGCCAAAAACGCCGGCGTGTAATTGTCACGCCTCTTTTGCGGCGATGGAGTTTTAGGCTTGGACAGCTCCCCTGCGACAGCACCCGGCAACAACAACTTGTGGCAAACGCGCTTTCTGGAACAACGTTCTGCTGGAACGTAAAATGAAGCTAGATGCGCCAAGCCCTTCCCTGGTGCTCTACTCACAGACTAGACCCTAGCACTAGTCAGCCATTTGCTTCGCGGTCCAAATTGAAGCAAACTCTTGAACCCATTTCTTTCTTGGCCCTATGGCTCTATTGCTTATAAGTGTCCTGGTGACAGAATAAGACCCCGGAAGAAATGCCACTTCTACTGCCCAAACATCTTGGCACGGTGGCAGTTCTGGAACCTTCTGGCCAAATTACGATTTAATACCATCTACAGTCTACAGTACAAATTGTTTTCTATGGACCCTTGAGCATGTACTCTTGGACGCTTGACCGCGTCCCAGAACAACATCTCCTTGCTTACAAACCTTGCAAGAGTGCCAATGCCAGAAGCTTCACAGACTCCACTTTGGCTGCAGATACCAAATTCAAAACTGCATAGCTTGTTTGAAAACGCTACTCCTTCTGCTATTTGGGGCGGCCTTGCAGGCCAAAAACACACTGACGCGGTTTGGTTCTGAATCTGTCGCACGTGGGAAACTTGATGTTTTGACCTGTAAATCCTGTAAACATTCAAACCATTTCAAACCTAATACTACTCTGGACCCACAATTGATACTTAAAATTCTCCCCGAGCGTTTCTTGCACAAAAATAGTCTGACAAAATGGTACCCGTTGTGGTGCATCATGGTTCAATCCAAGAAAATTGCGGGGACGAGATTTCAAAATTGATATGTTGAATTCAGTAAAAATGCAGTAGCAGTAGTCCTCCCAACCTGCTTCGCACCAACATGGCGACGGATGGGCATGGCCACAGACAGCCACCTTGATTTGGAAACTCGATGCTGTCGCGGGGTTTTTGCATGGCTTTCGCACCACTTTCACAGATTGGACACCAAAGACGAGTGGTTTGAAAAGGCTGCTCCGTCTGCAAATTAGGGGCAGCCTTGCGTGCCTAACAAACACGTCTTAGCATGGCTCGGTTCACAATCTTTTTCACTTGGGCAACTTAATGTTTGCCCAGCATTGCCGTGGACCCCCGGGTAGTCCACCTGGCCGTCCATGGAGGACAACTTGAAACTCCTTGAAGAGTACATGAAATACTTTGGGACGCTAAAATTGCAGCTTAAAGACAACAGCCAAAAACGCCGGCGATGGAGTTTTAGGCTTGGACAGCTCCCCTGCGACAGCACCCGGCAACAACAACTTGTGGCAAACGCGCTTTCTGGAACAACGTTTTGCTGGAACGGGAAAGCGACAGACTAGACCCTAGCACTAGGCAGCCATTTGCTTCGCGATCCAAATTGAAGCAAACTCTTGAAACCATTTCCTTCTTGGCCCTATGGCTCTATTGCTTATAAGTGTCCTGGTGACAGAATAAGGCCCCGGAAGAAATGCCACTTCTACTGCCCAAACATCTTGGCACGGTGGCAGTTCTGGAACCTTCTGGCCAAATTACGATTTAATACCATCTACAATCCCTACCCCTATAGAGGGGGAGGGCGGGGGGGACAAAACCAACCTGTCGAATTCCACTTTTTTTTGCTTGGAAACCCTGGGATAGGGATCCAATTGCTCAAATGGAACTTTAAAGTAACATTTCTTGACAAGCCTTGGGCACTGGTTAGAAAATACTTGCGCTTAGCTCCTCCGGAGCTAAGCGCAAGTGTGAAGATGGCAGCGCAATTTTTGGAGGGATGCCACCCTACACATGTGCTGCTTCAGTCTGACATGTGCTTAGCCCCTCCGGAGCTAAGCGCAAGTATTTGATGTTCATCTGTTTGCCAATGATATGGAATGACGAGGAATGTTGATCATTGAGAAAATTCAATGCAAAAATGGAATTTTAAAATGAAATTTCAGTACGACTCCCCCCCCTCAAATTTCTACTGTGTTGTCTACAGTATAAATTGTTTTCTATGGACCCTCGAATATGTACTCTTGCACGCTTGACCGCGTCCCAGAACAACATCTCCCTGTCGGCCCAAGTCCTCGCTAAACTAGGCCTTTGCCAAAGGCCTGGTTAAACTTGGCCTTTAGGACTGAGGTTTTCTCTATGTGATTATTTTTGAGGTTGTATTTTTGTGAGACTTAGCCGAGCAAGGTCCCACCCCCAAAGATATCCAATGCTTGAAAAATTGAGGGCGCAACTTCGAGATTTGCGAAAAAAGTGACACCACACCGTGAAAAAAACGTGAAAAAGCCATGAAAAGCCAGTGAAAAACCCGTGAAAAGGCCGTGAAAAACCCGCAAAATCAGGATAATCAGGTTTGTGCAAAAAATGCAAAAAGAATGGCTTTGCGATTTTGTGACCCATTTTTCTCATGAGTGCTCCCGCTCTATGTGGATGCTGCTGATCTTACGGTGCGGAAATTTCGTTTTTTTCAATGTATGAGCTTTTTGAGGCCTTTAGTCATTTAGGTCCTTTTCTCTAACGGCCGCGTTAAACTCGTCCTTTGGACTGACTGGGTCTCCTTGCTTACAAACTTTGCAAGAGTGCCAATGCCAGAAGTTTCACAGAATCCACTTTGGCTGCAGATACCAAATTCAAAACTGCATAGTTTGTCTGAAAAGGCTACTCCTTCTGCTATTTGGGGCGGTCTTGCAGGCCAAAAACACAGTGACGCGGTTTGGTTCTGAATCCGTCGCACGTGGGAAACTTGATGTTTTGACCTGTAAACATTCAAACCATTTCAAACCTAATACTACTTTGGACCCACAATTGATACTTAAAATTCTGCTCGAGCGTTTCATACAGAAAAGGAGTTCGACAAAATGGTACCCGTTGTGGTGCATTATGGTTCAATCCAAGAAAATTGCGGGGACGAGATTTCAAAATTGATATGTTGAATTCAGTAAAAATGCAGTAGCAGTAGTCCTCCCAACCTGCTTCGCACCAACGTGGCGACGGATGGGCATGGCTATGGACAGCTACCTTTTGCATGGCTTTCGCGCGACTTTCACAGATTGGACACCAAAGACGAGTTGTTTGAAAAGGCTGCTCCGTCTGCAAATTAGGGGCAGCCTTGCGTGCCTAACAAACACAGGTTAACATGGCTCGGTTCACAATCTTTCTCATTTGGGCAACTTAATGTTTTCCCAACATTACCCTGGACCCCCGGGTAGTCCACCTGGCCGTCCATGCAGGACAACTTGAAACTCCTTGAAGAGTACATGAAATACTATGGGACGCTAAAATTGCAGCTTAAAGACAACAGCCAAAAACGCCGGCGTGTAATTGTCACGCCTCTTTTGCGGCGATGGAGTTTTAGGCTTGGACAGCTCCCCTGCGACAGCACCCGGCAACAACAACTTGTGGCAAACGCGCTTTCTGGAACAACGTTCTGCTGGAACGGGAAAGCGGCTAGACACGCCAAGCCCTTCCCTGGTGCTCTACTCACAGACTAGACCCTAGCACTAGTCAGCCATTGGCTTCGCGGTCCAAATTGAAGCAAACTCTTGAAACCATTTCCTTCTTGGCCCTATGGCTCTATTGCTTATAAGTGTCCTGGTGACAGAATAAGGCCCCGGAAGAAATGCCACTTCTACTGCGCAAACATCTTGGCACGGTGGCAGTTCTGGAACCTTCTGGCCAAATTACGATTTAATACCATCTACAGTCTACAGTATAAATTGTTTTCTATGGACCCTTGAGCATGTACTCTTGGACGCTTGACCGCGTCCCAGAACAACATCTCCTTGCTTACAAACTTT